AGCCACTCGTCTGCATTCAGCCACTAACCTGCATTCAGCCACTCATCTGCATTCAGACACTAACCTGCAGCCACTCATCTGCATTCAGCCACTCATCTGCATTCAGCCACTCATCTGCATTCAGCCACTCATCTGCATTCAGCCACTAACCTGCATTCAGCTACTCATCTGCATTCAGCCACTAACCTGCATTCAGCCACTAACCTGCATTCAGCCACTCATCTGCATTGAGCCACTCATCTGCATTCAGCCACTCATCTGCATTCAGCCACTCATCTGCATTCAGCCACTAACCTGCATTCAGCCACTAACCTGCATTCAGCCACTAACCTGCATTCAGCCACTCATCTGCATTCAGCCACTCATCTGCATTCAGCCACTCATCTGCATTCAGCCACTCGTCTGCATTCAGCCACTCATCTGCATTCAGCCACTAACCTGCATTCAGCCACTCATCTGCATTCAGCCACTAACCTGCATTCAGCCACTCATCTGCATTCAGCCACTAACCTGCATTCAGCCACTAACCTGCATTCAGCCACTCATCTGCATTGAGCCACTCATCTGCATTCAGCCACTCATCTGCATTCAGCCACTCATCTGCATTCAGCCACTAACCTGCATTCAGCCACTCATCTGCATTCAGCCACTAACCTGCATTCAGCCACTCATCTGCATTCAGCCACTAACCTGCATTCAGCCACTAACCTGCATTCAGCCACTCATCTGCATTGAGCCACTCATCTGCATTCAGCCACTCATCTGCATTCAGCCACTCATCTGCATTCAGCCACTAACCTGCATTCAGCCACTCATCTGCATTCAGCCACTAACCTGCATTCAGCCACTAACCTGCATTCAGCCACTCATCTGCATTCAGCCACTCATCTGCATTCAGCCACTAACCTGCATTCAGCCACTCATCTGCATTCAGCCACTAACCTGCGTTCAGCCACTAACCTGCATTCAGCCACTCATCTGCATTGAGCCACTCATCTGCATTCAGCCACTCATCTGCATTCAGCCACTCATCTGCATTCAGCCACTAACCTGTATTCAGCCATTCATCTGCATTCAGCCACTAACCTGCATTCAGCCACTAACCTGCATTCAGCCACTAACCTGCATTCAGCTACTCATCTGCATTCAGCCACTCATCTGCATTCAGCCACTCATCTGCATTCAGCCACTCATCTGCATTCAGCCATTCATCTGCATTCAGCCACTAACCTGCATTCAGCCACTCATCTGCATTCAGCCACTCGTCTGCATTCAGCCATTCATCTGCATTCAGCCACTAACCTGTATTCAGCCACTCATCTGCATTCAGCCACTCATCTGCATTCAGCCACTAACCTGTATTCAGCCATTCATCTGCATTCAGCCACTAACCTGCATTCAGCCACTAACCTGCATTCAGCCACTCATCTGCATTCAGCCACTCATCTGCATTCAGCCACTAACCTGTATTCAGCCACTCATCTGCATTCAGCCATTCATCTGCATTCAGCCACTAACCTGTATTCAGCCACTCATCTGCATTCAGCCACTCATCTGCATTCAGCCACTAACCTGTATTCAGCCATTCATCTGCATTCAGCCACTAACCTGCATTCAGCCACTCATCTGCATTCAGCCACTCATCTGCATTCAGCCACTCATCTGCATTGAGCCACTCATCTGCATTCAGCCACTCATCTGCATTCAGCCACTCATCTGCATTGAGCCACTCATCTGCATTCAGCCACTAACCTGCATTCAGCCACTAACCTGCATTCAGCCACTCATCTGCATTGAGCCACTCATCTGCATTCAGCCACTCATCTGCATTCAGCCACTCATCTGCATTCAGCCACTAACCTGCATTCAGCTACTCATCTGCATTCAGCCACTCATCTGCATTCAGCCACTAACCTGCATTCAGCCACTAACCTGCATTCAGCCACTAACCTGCATTCAGCCACTAACCTGCATTCAGCCACTAACCTGCATTCAGCCACTCATCTGCATTCAGCCACTCATCTGCATTCAGCCACTCATCTGCATTCAGCCACTAACCTGCATTCAGCCACTCATCTGCATTCAGCCACTAACCTGCATTCAGCCACTCATCTGCATTCAGCCACTCATCTGCATTCAGCCACTAACCTGCATTCAGCTACTCATCTGCATTCAGCCACTAACCTGCATTCAGCCACTCATCTGCATTCAGCCACTCATCTGCATTCAGCCACTCATCTGCATTCAGCCACTAATCTGCATTCAGCCACTCATCTGCATTCAGCCACTAACCTGCATTCAGCCACTCATCTGCATTCAGCCACTAACCTGCATTCAGCCACTAACCTGCATTCAGCCACTAACCTGCATTCAGCCACTCATCTGCATTGAGCCACTCATCTGCATTCAGCCACTCATCTGCATTCAGCCACTCATCTGCATTCAGCCACTCATCTGCATTCAGCCACTAACCTGCATTCAGCCACTCATCTGCATTCAGCCACTCATCTGCATTCAGCCACTCATCTGCATTCAGCCACTAACCTGTATTCAGCCACTAACCTGCATTCAGCCACTAACCTGCATTCAGCCACTCATCTGCATTCAGCCACTCATCTGCATTCAGCCACTAACCTGCATTCAGCCACTAACCTGCATTCAGCCACTCATCTGCATTCAGCCACTCATCTGCATTCAGCCACTCATCTGCATTCAGCTACTCACCTGCATTCAGCCACTAACCTGCATTCAGCCACTCATCTGCATTCAGCCACTAACCTGCATTCAGCCACTCATCTGCATTCAGCCACTAGGCTCAGGTAATTCATTCATTTGATCCAGGTGTGTTTTAGCGCCCAGTGACTCCATTGCTGTTCTCTGATTGGCCGTGTGGTCAGAGACATGAGCAGAGCAAACAGGAAATAATCGCCGCCATTTTTCAAATTTATAGCAACAGCAGAGAAGCAACGCAGTCCTAGAAAGTGACCAGAGGATGTGAAGCTACGTTCACTTAGCTGGGAAATCCGACCTCAGGCCGACATTTTCACAGCATGTTCACAGCCATTCCAGTCTTTTCAACCCACACAAACCAGATGAATCGCTTCAGGTTTGGTCCAGGTCGTATCGTAGCTGCCGTATTTATTGTATGTACTCGATAAATACTCCGTCAGACATTCTGTTAGAGATGCAGACGTGAACGCAGCTGTCAGACATCTTGGGCAGGACTCATCACTCTGACGTCCTGCTAACTGTCAGCTCTGGTTTTTACTTCACAACGACTCATCTGTCCGACTTCCTGCAGCCAAATCTGAATTATTCAGAGACTCGTGATGCGATTCTGTTCTGGGAGCAGCAGCAGAACCTCGGGGCGGTTCTGTGGTTCAACACTTGGCTTCAGGTGGAGAGAGAGATTCTGGTTCTAGAACCAGGGATGCAGGTGTAGACCTGAATGTGTCCGTTTGGCCAACAGGTGATAGTGAAACGCCAGCGGCAGGTCAGAGGTTAAAGTTAAACCTTCTTGTTGACTGACAGTCATGGAAATGAATCTAATAGAGCAGCAGAAATGAAACAATATGTCACTGAATCAAAGGATGCGATTTGTTTTCCGTGTACATAAGAAGTGAGATGTGTCTGTCAGATTCCTCTGAAGGAAACGTCACATTTAAATAAAACACAGTGAGTCAGAAAAGCAAGGCCGCACGCCTCGCTGCTTTGAAACATGACGGAGGGCTTTCATCTGAGCGCGCTCAGTGAGGAGCAGCCTTCACAGGGAGGCGAGGTGATGCAACGGCGCGCAACAGGAGGGACTTCCCGCCTGCTGCAGCTTCACATGATGCAAACCTCAGAGCAGATGAGCTGGCGCCGCTGTGCGCCTCAGTCACACAGCGGCGCTCAGACGACCCGGAGCACCAAAACGCTCCACCCTGAGGAACACCGCTCCTGTTCAGAGGGAGAGTCAGGGACGAGTCTGAACAGGTCCAGAGCCTCCGCCCGCAGTTTGTTTCTGTTTCTATATAAAGATTGTTTTTATTTTTCTACATGAAGCACAGAAACCCAGGAGGAAACATTTGGACCAATCACTGAGTTCACAAGGTTCTGATGGTGCTGCAAGGTTCAAAACTGGACCTACAGACACAGGTCTGTTCCTTCTCTCTGCTCCAATGAGCTAAAATAGTAATTTAATGCCAGAAAAGTAAAAATAACTTTAATCAATCCGTGCAAAGCGAACTGTGAATTGGGTGAAATCTGTGGTGATGCTCCAACCACCAGCACATTGAATTATTGTTTCATAGTTTACATTTGTAGTTTACATGTTGCCTTTGCAACATTTTGTAGTTTTTGTTTCTTTGCTGTGTTGTTTCTCCTCATGTGTGGTGAGTTTTAGGGTACTGCACGTCTCTTTAAGCTTTTTGCAGTTCTATTTTAGTTCAGTTCAGTTCAGTTGGGCCCAAATTCATGTCATTTTAACTATTTACACCGAATCTTTATTTCTTCACTTTTGAACATCTTTTGTCCTTGTGTGTTTGGACTCACAAGCAGAAAGCAAAGTGGGAACAAGCTGTTAGATGAAACAAGCTACAGCATCATGAACAAGTTTAAATCACCTTGAATATGAGAGGAGGATTTTATTCATTCCATCAAAATCTATGTGTTAACGGTGAGATTCCAGGCTGGGTGTTTCCCACATGAGGCTGATTAGCATGAATCAGATCAAAGTGATGTTGATCAAACAGGGTTTCGTTGCTCCCTGCTGGCGCTCTCTGATTTTATTTTCAGTTTTTTTCCAGGAAGGAGAAAGTGCTTTTGGACTGGAGGCAGAATGGTGTCACAGCAGATAAAAACCTCAAACAGACAGTTGTGTCCTCCATCAGAGAGCGAGGAGCTCTCCAGCGCTGCGTGTTTTCCTCTGCAGTCAAACTGCAGCACTAAGAGCACATTTGGAGTGGGAAAAATGGAGCATGAAGAGGGATTTTCTCATATCTGCTGCTCTCAACAGCATGATGATGCTTCACAGAGCGCGGGTTGACATTTTATTGCCGGCTTTTCCCGCAGCTCTGCACACAAACGTACCTGCTGGACACAAACATGCAGAACCAGCGACAGAACCAGCGACTGAGACCCGATCAGCAGCACAGCCATAAATATGAAAACACCAGATTAATAACAGAACGTCTGGTTTTCACTGCACAAAACAAACAAACTAGAAACCTTCAGTTCACATCAGTGCAACTAATTAAACCCATCCTGCTACGTATGACATCATTTCCTATTGAAATCTGAATAGTTCAGTTCAGAGATGATTGGTTGAACCAATCAGCGCCTCTTCTCCGTGGATTCTGATTGGTCAGCCAATCAGAATCCAAAATAATGACATTATTTTGGATTCTGATTGGTCAGCCTGTCACCCTGAACATCTGATTGGTTAAACTTTATTCAGACTTTTGACTAGCAAAGTCAAAAAATGCCATTATTTATTTTTACTAATCAATTATTAAAATTATATCAATTACATATTTAATTGCACTTAATATTCATTTGGTTTAATTCATATTTAACAAGCTGAATAGAGAATATGCAGGATTTCTGCAGCTTTCACCATTCTATGACCATTATGAATGAAATGTAAGACTTTTATAACGACAGAAATTTACAAAAGGAAACTGCATATTTTATAAAGTATTAGAGATCCGGGTTGATAAATGTACACTAATCCATGATGGGCACAAAAAGCAGCTAGCAGGGGGAAATTAGCAGCTAACGAGGGGAAGCCTCAACCGAACAGAACCGAACCAAGACGTCTGAGAGCGACTCAAATGTTAGCCTGACAGAAAAGTCCAGCAAAAAAATAAACTAAATAAATACATGAGACTAAAGTCACAACTAAACTTAAAACCATTCATCAAAGTATTTAAGGCCAATTTGGATTTTTAATGGAATTAAAACACTTTAAGGCTCTACTCTTAAAAAATGTGTGTATATTTTAAACTCTATTTAGTGTTTTTTATCCTTTATTCCTTAATTTTCTGACACTTCGGTCTTGAAATATGTAATTATTTAGAAATAATTGTCATAGAAACTGAGTTATTCATGTCTTGAATACAGACTATATTCAACAAAGTAAAAAAAAGTTGTTTTAACTTTGAAAATGACGTCACCAAACAAATACGAGCCGTTATATTCAGTGTGCAGCTTCACGCCTGTTTGAATTGAAAGCAGCAGCATAATAATTACTATTATTAACCCTTGCTAATTATTTTCCATGCAGCTGTTGACAAGCCTCTTCCTGGCTTAGCGCCTTTAATGAGGCCTTGTTAAAAACATTCACATCACTGGCATTTCCCCTAATGAGCGCACCGGCGGTCTCCATGCTGATGCCCTTTATGGCCAACCGCCGCTGATCTTTTCCAAAACATCACGGATGCCGCCACAGCTGCTGCAGCTTAGAGGCTTTTCATTTCTGTCGCCGTGGGAGGAGCGCAGGCCTCCAGGGGAGGAAGGGGCCTCAGAAATTAAATCAGCGCCGACGGCGTCCGGGGAGCCACAGTGACACAGTGGCACACCGTAATGCAGCGCTCCGGGCCTCAGGGGGAGACGGCCGCCTGCGAAAGGAAAAACCCAGCAGGAGCATCTTCAGCTGCATGCAGACAAAGCTGCAGCAGCTGCTGCTGCAGCTTTGTCTGCATGCAGCTGCTGCAGCTGCTGCAGCTTTGCCTGGACATGAAGTCAGACAGAAGGCCTCTCAGAGCAATGGTTGCACTTCTCCGTTACATTCATCGTTCCTGAGGTTTAAACTCCCGCTGAGCCAACAGAAAGTCTGGGAGTGACTGGACATAAGGTAACAGCATTGCCCCTCCCTCACCTATTGCTGCACTCTGTCAGAAAATATGAGAAATTGATCCAGGAATTCCCTCACGTTCAGATTGTTTGTTATTGTGTCGTAACGTAGTGAAGATGTAAAGGTGTAAAGTCACACCTGCAGGATGAAAAATCAGAGATGAGGTGTGAAACAGGCGCTGGGTGTTCAGTAAATATTCATCTCCATCAGTGACCCACCTGCTGCTCGGCGGCTGTTCTCATGTTTTATAGATGAACTCCGGAGGAAGAGGCCGAGGTTAGAGTCTGATTACAGCTCTATAGAAACAGGTCAGGGTTTGTTCTGCGGCTCGGAGCAGCAGAGGACCGTGACTGATGAACCGGACCTCGGACCGGGCCGCTGCTCCAACCCAACATGACGACAATAACTCATCGCCTGGGACGTCTGCAGACGCTTTGTGAAGCGGCTGAAGCTCACCCAGTTGTTTGCCGTCTTCAGTTTTTACTTGTTGGGTTTTGTTTTCCGTCCCGGCCCGGTCCGCCTCTGAACCGGTCCAGTGACATACAGAACCAGCGAGCTGCTGCCAGGACGAGCTTTACACAGCATTGGGTTTCAGTAATTAGCAGCGTTAAAACAAAATGTTCCAGCAGCCAGAAACACTCAGAGCATCAGATCCACTTCCTGTTATCAGCCCGATTAATGCTCGTTAGTCTCACATCCCGACCTTCGGAAAAATAATAAAAACTTTAATTAGTGAGCAGAAAACGTGACAAACATTCAAGACTCAGCTTTAAAACCTAATCCTGCAGTCCGATGACCAGGTATTGAAACGTTTCACGTATTATTGAAGAGAGACCCAAACAATGAATTAGAAGAATGAAGGGATTTAATGGAGGATCTAAATAAACCCTCCCTCTGTGTGATGGTCACTAATTAAATACAACCGCAGTCAGACTCCAGTGTGAGCGGTTTGAGGCGCGCATGCGCAGAAGAGCGTTGACTTGAGGAGGAAAACCTGCTGGATGTGGGGAGGTTGAGATGCGTTCACTGACTCACTGCTTCCATCAATTCATTATTATCAAATCATTATTATCATTTCCTGCCATTTTTACGTCAGATTTACTGTCTGGCTCCTGCTGGTGCAGAATCATGACGTAAAAGTCGAATAAAACGCAACATGACAGGAAATTATCTAGTTCTGTTGGAAAGTGGATCAGATCAGATGTTTTCAGGGTGAAAATGTAACACAGTTGAGAAGGGTACAATATGTTTTAGGTAGATGGGCCAATAGGTTTGGCTGTCGGAGCACGATGGGTGTTTAAATAACACACATACACAGTTGAGTGAATTTAAAAAAACAATTAGCTTTAGTAACATGAATCATAAACTCACAAGTGGACAAGACATACAATTAAGAAAATAAAAACTACACACAATAAAATACATAAAATAAAAACAATACTTGGCCAAGTGCTAAATATCAAATTTAAATCTATTGGGTGCACATAGGTAGTTTGCACTCTAATCTCTTTTAGATGACAAATGAATCAAATTAAATCCTGGTTCAGGTCTCACTCAACATGGGAGGAAATCCAGATCTTTCTAAGTCCAGGTGGGAAGGCTCGCCATCAAAGTCAGTAGAGGAATCCACTCCAGGAACAATCCAGGAGAAGAGAAGAAAAAGAAAAAAACAAAAACAACACAACAAAAAAAAAAAACCTGATCTGTCAACAGACAAGACCAGCAGAAACATAGAATTATTATTAAACCATTCTAGCTTATTATGTTTCATAACTGTTTGAAAAATCCTTTTCCAAGAACAACAATAAAACATTACATTTTACACAAACTCAGCAAAGGTTCACGTTTTAATAACTAAGTAGGTCAAATAAAGATCATTATTTGACAACAAGATAAAAGAACAAAAACCAAATGAAAGCTACAAAATATGCTCACCGATCTCAGTGCAGCACGTTCAAAACAACTAGACAGGGACTCTCATTCCAGACACGGAGGGCACTAGACAGTGTAAAATGCATATTTTTTAAGTTTTAACTTAAAGAAAATGAATTAAGTAAAATAAAAATACATTATTATATAGGCTTTACCTTCAGTTGAACTGAAAACAACTGCCAATCAACTGCCAGAAAGTGCAACAGTTCCAACTGATCTTAGTGGTTCTAACAGCAGAAAAACTGAAGTTCAGTTTTCTGAAACTTATCACTCTTTCTAACTTATAAGTTGGATTTAAACAACAACTATTTACAAAAAAAATTCCTTCAAAGTCAATAAATGATATTAGAAAGAAACCAAAAGACTCTCACTCTGGCTCAGCTGTCTGATCAGGGTCGGATCTCCCGCTCACAATCAACGCTGCCAGCACGGGAAAGAAGGTGGAGCCTCTGTGGCATTCCGCTCTCTGATTGGTCTAAACATTCATGGGAATCAAACTTCCCATTGGCCAGGCAGACTACCCCGCCTACCCAATCTCTATTTCCCAAAAGGCTATCCCCACTTTATGTGGGTTACACCCTCCCCTCTGAAGGGTATGCCCGTCCCTGGGCATCTGCAATACGACACTGAGTCGCACAGCTTAAGCATGCCTGATGGAATTATGGGATGCATTCTCCAAGCCATTCAGGGAGCTAGCCAATGCTTCACTTAGACCCTGGAAAAGAGAATTCACCACCATCATCAGAGGATTTCCCAGTTTTGGATACTCTAATCTGTTTGGCTTTGTGTGTACTCTTTGAGAGCGACGAAGAAATGTTTCAGAGTTTTGAAGTCCCTCAGTCTGAAACTTTAAGGGTTCAGGTTGGGCAGTAACAGGTTCATTTACTCCATAAAACTCATCATCATATGCTGCATCTGAGCTCATCCCATTTATGGAGGAGTTTCCTCAGATTGCTGCAAATCCAAACACTGAGGGGATCCTTTAACTGAATTTAGTTCAGGTAAAACGTTTGCTTCGGATAATCTGCTATGTTCCGGTAGGTTGTCATTTTCAGGTAGGTGAACACTTGATGCATCTTGAATATCTCCAGTACTTCTATCTCCTACAATATGAGTAGCTGGAACATCAGGTGAGAGGGAAACTACAGATCTCCCTGTTTCTGCTGATGGTCGAACTGCACTGGGATGCTCACTTGACTTGTGAGTTTCAGGCACTATGACATATACATCGGGTTTTCAAACAATATGAGGGAACGATGTCCAATCAGGTACATCATCCAGATCTGAGATGATTTCCTCTTCACTCTCGACGACTGGACATTCTCTCGTTCTGGGTCTCCTGTTTGGACAAGGTTTGACTGTTTCAGGCTCTGCAGCTGCTGACAGGAATCCACATGGCAGAAGCAGGTCTCTGTGCAGAGTCCGCACTGGTCCATCTTTACTTTCCGGTTTAACTGTATAAACTGGCATTTCTCCAGCTCTCTTGAGGACAATATAAACATCCTCCTCCCACTTGTCTGCCAATTTATGTTTTCCACGCAGTTTCACATTTTGCACAAGAACTCTGTCTCCTGTCTGCAAAGTTGATTCAATCACTCGCCGGTCAAATCTGGCTTTATTGTGACTTGCATTCTTTTCTGCATTGCTAGTAGCAATACGGTAACTTTCTTCCAATCGAGATTTTAAATTGCCAACATACTGGGAATGAGTCTGCTTCGTAGCATTGGTGGGCAATCTGAAAATCAAGTCAATGGGTAATCTGGGCTGTCTCCCGAACATTAACTCGTATGGGGAAAATCCAGTTACATCACTCTTTGTACAATTATAAGCATGTACCAGAGGTTTGACAAAGTCTTTCCAGCGGAGTTTATCTGACTTATCAAGTGTTCCAAGCATTTGAAGAAGTGTGCGGTTGAATCTTTCAACCGGATTTCCCCTGGGATGGTAAGGGGTTGTACGCACTTTCTTCATGCCAATAAGTTCACAGAGTTCTTTTATGGTTTTAGATTCAAAATCAGCACCCTGATCACTAAGGAGCTTTTCAGGAAAACCATAATGAATAATGAAGTTTTCCCAGAGGCACTTTGCTACGGTCTGTGCTCGCTGGTTTGGGGTTGGTATGGCCACTGCATATTTTGTAAAATGATCAGTTATTACCAAAATGTCTTTGGTGTTTGAGCGATCTGGCTCTATTGACAAAAAGTCAATGCACACCAGTTCGAGAGGTCGGTAGGTTTTAATGTTCATCAGTGGAGCAGCTTTTTCTGGATGTGTTTTTCTACGAACACATCTCTCACATGTTTTAACCATTTTCTCTATGGTCATATACATTTTTGGCCAGTAAAATCTAGTTCTTGCCAAATCTACTGTTCGTTCAACTCCAAGGTGGCCCATATCATGATGAAGACTCATGAGTGCTGTAGCTCTTAGCTCCTCAGGAAGTACAAGCTGATATGAGATGTTTGGACCATCTTGTCGCTTACGATAGAGCACTCCATTCTGCATCTCCAACCGAGACAACTGTCTGAGTAACAAAGGTAATTCTGGTAGCTCTAACCTGAGGCCGGGACATGGAGTTTCACCAGTTTCCAAGAGTACAATGACTGCATTGATAGCAGGATCTAATGTTTGTTTTTCCCTCAACTCTTCTTCTGAAAATGAACAAACAAGAGGGGACCCATCCACTTGCTCCTGCTGGAAGCAGTCAGGAATAGCTGTGGACTGGTGAGTGAGAGATTCAACTAATGTCAACCCAGGAGTGGCGGCTTGAACACCAGCTACAGATGAAGTGACCATATGACGTTCACAAATAGCCTTAATCACCTCCTGGGGAACAGTCTCTGGACTGTCAGGATTGCTCAGATGGTACAATGTGAACTGCCGGATTCTCTCACTTTCCTTCTTGGATGCATAATCATCCTTTGGTGGATCATGAGGTCGGCGAGACAGTGCATCAGCATCAAGATTTTGCTTTCCCGCTCTGTACTGAAGACTGAATGAGTAAGTAGAAAGACTGGACAACCACCTGTATGTACCCTGTCGCATCCAGCTTTGCAGATGTTAAAATATATGTAAGTGGATTGCTGTCTGTCACTACTGTGAAGTCTGTACCATATAGGCAATCAGAGAATTTTTCTGACTGCCCATTTAAAAGCCAAAAATTCAAGCTTATGAGCCGGGTACTTCCTCTCGCTCTTTGAAAGTCCTCGACTCGCAAAAGCTATGACTCGAGATTGACCATCTTGAACCTGATATAATGCAGCCCCAAGGCCAACAGTGCTAGCATCTGTATGTAAGACATACGGAAGCTGGGGGTCTGCAAAACCCAAGACTGGAGCTGATGTTAGCTTACTTATTATGTCATCGAAAGCTTTCTGACATTGAGGTGTCCACCGCTCACCAAAGGACTCCTTTGGGTTGCGATACTCTGAGCTCAAATTTATTTTCTGTCTCTTATTTAGCTTTCTGAGTGGTGGATAACCAGACGTTAATTCATTAAGTGGCTTTACAATAGTAGAGTACCCCTGAATGAACCGTCGGTAGTATCCAGCAAATCCTAAGAAAGATTGAAGCTGTTTAAGATTTGTGGGGATCGGCCAAGTCTGTAAGGCCGAAACTTTTTCAGGGTCTGTTTCAACTCCTCTCTCAGAAACAATGTGACCAAGGTATTTGACTGACGTTTGAAAAAATTTGCACTCTGGTGCCAGTTTCAAACCATATGTCATCAATCGTTCAAGAACACGCTGCAAGCGCTGTTCATGTTCTTCCAGGGAGGCTGAGAAAATAATCAAGTCATCAATGAACACTAAAACTTCTTTTAGGTTCATATCGCCAAACATTTTTCCATCAGTCTTTGGAAGGTTGAAGGCGCATTTGTTATTCCTTGTGGCATCCTGTTGAATTCCCAGAATCCAACTGGACACACAAATGCAGTCTTATGCTTGTCTGCTTCTTGCATTTCGACCTGATAGTAGCCTGACTTGAGGTCTAGAACGGAGAACCGCTTAGAACCAGCAAGTGCAGTGAAAGCATCTTCCAGTTTTGGAAGAGCGTAGGCATCTTTGATGGTCTGCATATTCAGCTTTCTGTAATCTACACACAGACGAACAGAACCATTCTTTTTGCGAACCACAACGATTGGAGAAGCAAATGGAGACTCAGATTCCCGTATGACTCCAGAATCTAGGAGTTCCTGTATATGTTGTCTCACAGCATCTACATCGTTGGGGTGTATCGGACGTGCTCTCTGCTTAAAAGGCGTCATCACTGAGCTTGATTCGGTGTTTCACTTTATCAGTATGGCCAAAATCCAGGTCATTCTGAGAGAAAACGTTTGGCATGGTGTTTAACATTTTTGTTATTCGCTCTTTCCATTCAGTGGATAAAGGTGAATCTCCAAAATCAAAGTTCAGTGGTGGGGAAGACTTTGCTTGAAATTTAGGATAGTCTGATTCGTTGACAGTATGTTCTTTGTGCAACACCTGTACTATAGCATTAACATCTGCCACAATGGTTTTGGGGGGAATGACTATGTCATGATTGGTGTCATTTCTCAGTACGACAGGAATATGACATGAGTGTTTGCTTGGTAAAGTTACTGCAATCGCTGAAACGAGTAAACCATTCGGTAGAGAAGCTGATGGTTGCTCAAGAATAACATCTCTCTGAATGTTCAAACGATTAAATGGAACAAAAGCTTCAACAACAGCGGTCTGCCTTGCAGGAACAACTTTAGGCAGCTTGCCTGTTAGTTCTGCACAACCAAGGCTGCTGTGGATAAGCTCCCTTTGTCGTATCTCAAGTATTTTGAGAACAGCCTGATAGCCATTCATCAAAGGCTGAAAAGATGAAAGTTTCTGGTAATCCGCATAAAGAACGTCAAGTGCGTTTGTGCCTATAAGCACCTGTTCATGGGCTGCAGAGCGGAGGTGAGGAATAACCAAAGCCAGAGTGTTAATCTCAATATCAGAGCCAACAAACTCTTTAGGAAAAGTGATGGTAAGCTCAACATATCCTAAATAGGGAACAAACTGGCCATTAGCACTCTCCACTTCAAGCAAATCATTTAAAGAATGAATGGTCAGATCAGAAAGGTGTTCTTCATAAAAGGACTGGGGCACAGTTGTGACTTGCGAACCTGTGTCCAACAGACAGTTTGTGTCTTTCCCTGCAATAGACACTTGAGCTGTAGTTTTAGTTCCCACCAGGCCATGTGGCAATTTCGACCTTTCTACCCCAACACTCTTAACAACAGCTTTCATGGTTTTGGGACTGGAATTTTGTAACTCTGCTCCCATGTGTCCCACTATGGGAGCAGACACTAGTTTAAATGTGTCTCACTTTGAGAAGCATTAGAGGCTTCCCAAGCAGCCTGCTTTTCTTTCAGCTGTTTTTTCTTAGCTGCTACAAGGGAAAGATTTGGTGCATTTTCACAGACTGAAACAACATGGCCATCCTCTCCACACTGGAAACAGTACCAGGGACGTGGTCTGCCATTTGCTTTAATTGTGGAAGGATGCTGACGGCTTGTTTTTGGTTTCACCACATGGACTTCATGTGTGACACTTAGAGGAACAGACTTTCGTTGCTTAAGTTGTTTTGACTTTTGACTCTCTGACACAATGCTCTTCACCTGAAGGCTGAGGTCAGCAATTTGTTGCTTGAGCATCTCAAGATCAGTCTTATTTATCAAATCATTTTTGTCATATGCAAGATGAACTTGTGACATGGCACGCTGCTTGCTGGGGATGTGGCCAGACTTGGCATGGTTGAAATGCTGTTGCATTCGAGTCATTTTTGCAGCCTGTTTATCTTCTTTTGTCCTAAGAAGAAGCAACAATTCTGCAAAAGTAGGAGGTTTATCTTTCTTTTGTTCTAACTGAAGATCGGCTATTAAAGCGTTCTCCCAACAGCC